CTCTCCCTCCCTCTCTCTCTCCCTCTCAACTTTTGAACCTGGCACTTTCTCTGTCTCGTTGTTCTTGATGTAAGACGGTAAGTTTTTGGGGACGTTCATTGTCTCCATACGATCAGTCGGATTTCTTCCATTCTTCAAATATCTGCTTTTCCTTTATTGTCTCTGTTCTTTCTTTTCGTTTCCTCACTACCTTCCTTGTTTCCCTCTTTTCTCGTCTTGTACCCTCCATCCTTTTTTTCCTCCATATGTCCCCTTCTTTCTTTCTCTGATTTAGTTTCCTTCCCTCTTTCCTTTCCTTCTTTCTCCCCCCTTCCTTCTCGGTTGTGGCTCCATCATTATTCCCTCCATCATCTTCTCCTCTGCTGCTAAAACTGCAGAGAGAACTTCTGAGCAGAGGGGGAGGGGGGGGGGGGGGGGTAACCTGGGGGGGAGTTAAACCGCAGGACCACCTGAAGAGCAGAGCGACGAGATGAATATTATAGATTCATTTTCACACACACACACACACACACACACACACACACACACACACACACATGCTCCATGGCTGCTGCAATGTTGGTAATGGTTCCTGTTTTGGTGATTTATGGTAGAACTCAGTGTGTGTGTGTGTGCGTGTGTGTGTGTGTGTGTGTGTGTGTGTGTGTGTGTGTGTGTGTGTGTGTGTGCGTGCGTGCGCGTGTCCAAGCCAATGTCAACACCGCGGTCGTCTCTAGGTTAGCGGGGAGCGGCGGGCCGCGTTCTCTTTCCACAGTTGCCGCGGTTACCGTGCGTCAGCCTGCTGTCCGTCAAAAGCGGTCGCTAATTGGCCGAGAGGCCGCGCTCGTCTTCCTCACTGATTTCTTCTGCTTTCTTTTTTTTTTTTACTTTTCTCCAACGCCGTCTCGTCGCCTTCCTTCTCTTTCCTATGACGCCGCTTCTCTCTGTTTCTCCTGGTTTCTTTTCCTCTCCTTTAAGCCGGCGACTCACATCCTCTTTCCTCTTCATTCTCCTTTCGTCTCCTTTCCTCCTTCTCCCCTCAACTCCACTCCTCAGTGTTTCCATGCCGTCTTCTCCTCCTTTCTATCCTCTCCTCATCACTTCCTCTCCTCCTCTGTCTCCTTCTCCCCTGCCCACTCCTTTTGTCTCACCAGTCTTCTTCCTCCCCTTCCCCTCTCTTCTCTGTATTTGTTCTCCCTCCATCCTTCTTCATCCCCCCGACTCAGTCTGTCCTGTCTCCCCTCTCAAGGTGACTTTTAAGTTCATAAACTTTTGATATTTTGCTTGGATTCGCCAATAAACAGCTGATGTAAAGTGTATTTGTGTGAGTAATTTCTCCTCCCAGTCCGCCCAGTGTCCCGGCCTTCACCCTCCATCTGTGTGTGTGTCAGTAGAGGACAAGAACGTGTCCAAACGGCACCTGGGTCCACTGAAGGAGCGGCTGTCCCTCCTCATCTTGAGGAAGCTGGGATTTGTCCCGGAGCACGTGGAGACCAGAGTCCTGTACAGCCCCCTCCAGCCCGACATGGAGCAGGTAACGCACGCACGCACGCACAACCGCCGCCCCTCTTCGGCGGGGCCCCTTGTCCCGTCGTCTGATTCGGTCGTTGCCGCCGTTCCTTCAGGGGCGGCTGATGATGTGGGTGGACCTGTTCCCCGGATCGCAGGGACCCCCGGGACCCCCGTTCAACGTCACGCCGCGCAAGGCTAAGAAGTAGGAGCGCGCCGCCGCGAGACACGCAAAAACCTCAGTCACGTGATTAGAGCCAATCAATCCCTTCGCCGTTTGTCAGTCCTCTGGCCTGTCAGTCAGCACGTCGGTCAATCGGCCTGTCAATCAGCGCGATCTGTCCTCGTCCAGGTTCTTCCTGCGCTGCATCATCTGGAACACCAGCGACGTCCTCCTGGACGACGTCAGCGTGAGCGGCGAGAGGATGAGCGACATCTACGTCAAGAGGTAAACCCCCCCCCCCCCCCCCAAACCTTCCGCCCTCCTTCGCCCCCCCCCCCCCAATGAGTGATGGGTGCTTTCCATTTTAAATGGAAAAATGACGGGTTCTGGGCCTTTATAACTCATTAATTAAAGTGTCAGCCCACACCCGCCTCCGAAACGGCAGGGTAAGCTTTAAGTGGCGGTTTGTGACCCCATCCAACTGAGGACTCACTGTCAGCCACTTTCGATTTCCGAAAAGTTATCACACCCAAGCACCCCGCTGTACCGCACTACTCTGTAGGCTTTGGCTCTAGACTGCCAAAAAATGGTTTCTACATAATATATTGTGCATGATAGCTGATACTCTCTGTGTGTGAGTAAAAGAGGGTGTGTGTGTGTGTGTGTATATGTTTGGGGAGGGCACAACATGATCCGCTCATATTCTATAAACACTAAAAAGTTGCCCTCACTCCTCTTGTTTCTATTGGCGCATAGGAGGTGAAGAAATTGAAAATGGTGTGAGGAGCAGCGTGTGCGGGTAATTGCTATTGAACCAACACAACAAAAAGAAGGGAATACGGCCCGAGGTGTTGCCCACACCGATCATTTGTGAATGTGACTTTTAGTGGGTGCGCGCTATGACGAGGGGTGCCGTGTTTTCTTTTGAAAGTGGATGTCGCGGTGTGCAGATCCATGACAAAGGAGCTGTGAT